TTTATTTTAAGATTTGCTAATTGCGATTTTAATTCACATGCTCAATCTCCAAAACCACAGCTTTTATTTAATATAAGTTTGGAATTTTTTATTATGTAAATCGAATTTATAATTATTAAATAGTATTATAATTGTTTTTGAAAACACTTCATTACTTGTCAGGGAGTGTATATACATATTATATCAAAAAAAGAATTAAAATTAACATAGTTCCAAACCAAATACTTATGTTGTAGTGGTTCCAGCGGCTATTTTTATGTTGTAGTGGTAGAGTCTGTAGAAATGGGAAATTGCATGAAATTTCAAAATTTCATTCACATGATGCGCATTTTTATGCATTGCATTTTTAAAAAAAATATATATATTAATATATAAATAAAAATAATATCTAAATATAAATTTCAATATTATCATCACTACCACTGTCTTCTTCTTCACCACTTTCTATTCTAATTGTTTCATCATCATCATTACTTTTATCATTTTCGCTTCCCACATTTCCATCACCGCCAATTGTAATTATCCATATTATCATTGTTGGTATTTTTTGGACATTTTAATTTATAATTAAAATAAATATACACCAATTTAAAACACATTCAGGTGTCAATAGTTTTATTTCTCTTTTTATCATTTATAAAAGAAAAAGTAAACCAATTCCTTTTAGAAGCAAAGCTGATGAAATTATCAATCCTACCCAGTTTAGCAAATGAGGCCAAATTTTTGATTTTGTCATTTTCTTAAAAATACTATCGATAATATAATTTGTAAAAATTAAAATTCGCATGTTTTTTTTGAATAAAATTGTGTACGGGACATTGCATGATTTGAAAAAAAAATCATGCGCATGTCACATCTCTAGTTATAACCTATTATTTATGAAAGTAAGCATTACCACTACATGTTATAGAAAAAAAGATATTACTATTAATTTCTTCATTAGAGTTGTGATTAATTCTATATAATATTGAAGAGTAGCAGATAAAGATTTACTTTAGATGCCTAAAATAATTTCTTTATTATCTAAATCTGTTATTTATATAAAATAGACGTCGTTATTATACATTCAAGGTAATAATTATTAACATACGTTGTGCTTTTGTTTTTGTTTCTTATTTATTTATTGGTTTTTTCAAATTTTAAATCTCTATAATTTATGTTAAATATTAAAATGAAACTGAGGCGCGATTGAGGCGCGATAATAGCTCTATTAAACAAATCATCTGTAAAGCTAAGCGTAAATGATCTTTAGGAGATGATGGGGGTATTTTTCAATTAATTACTTTAATAATAATTGA